GTGCAGGGTGTTGGGATGGGTGCAGGGTGTTGGGATGGGTGGGGTGCAGGGTGTTGGGATGGTGGGGTGCAGGGGTTGGGATGGGTGGTGAAATACAAGGTAAATTAGATTAGATGTGGGTTAGGATCAGTGAGATGGAGAGGGGGTCAACATTTGGGGGGAAGGTGAACGCAGGTGGTAAAATGCAGGGTAGGGGAAAGTGGGTGGGGGTAGTTGTTGGGATACATGGGTGAAGTGCAGGAGGTGAAGCTCAGTGAGGGGGGGAAATGCAAGTTGTACATGATTAGGTTGGGGGGAGGTGGAGTGTAGGCGAGGTGCAGTAAGTTACAAGAGTAATGAGGGGAAAAATACATGTTGGACTAAAATACAAGAACCCACATGGTTCATTCTCCTTTTTAATATATACCCACACTGGCCCTGCTACCTACCTCCATAAACTGCACGTTCACTTTGAAGTCAGGCGGAGGTTCGCCATTTTGTTTTGCAGCTTGTTTTCTTTTCTCAATACCATCAAACAAATGACTAACAGCTCTAGGAATGATGCCTTCCTCATCTTTACCACTGTTCACATCAAACCCTGTCCCCATTGTGTATGTTTTACCCGCACCAGTCTGAAAATTTTATGAATTGTTGTGTTAAACCAACTTTATTCACACTGGATAGCTCTATCCGTTCTAAACTGTTCTTCCTAGAGGTCCAATAAGGATCATCTTTTATTGATCCAGTGTTACTACAGGAGGAAACCTAAACTAAACTAACTTTATTTATACTGGATAGCTCTATCAGTTCTAAACTGTTCTTCCTAGAGGTCCAGTAAGGATCCTCTCTTACTGATCCAGTGTTACTACAGAAGGAAATTGCAGCACTCGAAAGAACTCTTCTTCTCACATGTGACTGAGGTAAAATTATAATGAGACAATGTATGAGACAATGTATATTGCAGAAATCAAAGCTCAGTCATACAGACGAAAGACACATGCACTGACCACCATGTCATTCAATAATAATGAATCTTTCAGAAAACACTTCTATAATAGGGCTGGCTGGTCCCAGCTCTTATTAAGCATGCCCATATATGTCAGCTTTAATGGCCCTTTAGTAAGCCTCAGTAAATATTTGATTATAGTTGCTTCCAGAAATATGGGGCCAAAAACAGTAGTAAAATAAATACTGGTATTGAAATCTAAATTATAAAGCCTACCTGCCCATAGGCCAAAACTGTAGCATTATAACCATCAAGACACCTACAAAGTATCCAAAAAACAAATCATTTAAAATCCGCCCCATAGCAATAAATTTGTTACTTTTAAAAATTTAAACCCCCTAATGTAAACAATTTCAATTCGCGCCGCAAAGCAAATATTTTATATTGGGCTATTTACGTAAGAAAACAGTAAAACGTGCAAAAATATATACGTCCTTACCCTTCAATAAGGCCTTTAATGCAATCATGGTAAATTTCGAATTGTTTCGAGTTAATATCAAAGACAAAATCGTAGGTAAAAGCTTTGTCTTTGCCTAAAATTACTTGTGGATGATTCAGCGTTACGTTGGTACAAATACGACACATTTCGATCTTTTCCGAAGCACTTTGAGGACGAATCCTGCAAAAAATAAGCAAAATAAAGCATTATTTAAAGCCACGTTCATGCTATACATATTTTATGAAGTCTGGCGAGTTTAAAGTGTAATATTTTACAAGATAAACAACAGTATGGGCTCGCAAAAGTTGTCAAAACAAATGAAACATGCGATATTTTGTTATCATATTTTCCATTCAATAAATCGATCAACCTTTAATATGATATATTATATTGAAAACTAAAGCATTAATTGTTTTAAAAAGCAAAAAATCCCACAGAAACCACTGCACTCCATTAAGAATATATCAAGCGAAGAATATTACAGTACAAAAATTTACAACAAGAATTTCAACTACCTCAAAGCAACTTGAACCGAAGTGTCAGCATCCCCAGACATGTTCTAAGCTGTTTTTAACAAAATTGGAAACTCTATTTAATATATATTCTGCTCTCGAACAATATTCGTTCCCCAATTTGGTTATTTCCATATATTTAGCGTCGAAACCACGAAAGGCTTAAAAGCCTTCGTTGACATTTTCATAAATGGGCTTTAAATTTTGTCCCAAAACTCGCAGAAATATACACCAAAAACGCCTTCTTTTCCACGGAGAAGCTTCGTGTAGGCCCCTTCTTTCTTCCCCCAAAGTAATTGGCCGTTTCACATCGCAAATTTAGTGAAATTTGAAGGAAAAAGTCGACGTGATTAATAAATAACCGTTTACGTGAAGAGATGGCAACCTTCAAAATGGCCGCGCCAGCTGCAGCACTCGCGTGACCATCACGCGCACGCGGGAGTACGCGCGAGATTCGCAATTTATTCAGGATTTTGATTTTTTTTGTGAAAAGAATAGTGAAAAGTGATGTTTTCGTTGTCAAAAATGATGTAGTTAAATTTCTCAGTTACATTAACAATTTATGAGCAAGAAATAAAGGAAATTAACCAGTACAATAAAGTAAAAAACAAATTCCAAAAAGACAAGACATCTTTAGAATACAATATATCATTCAAATACAATATATGATTTTGAATCATATATTGTATTCTCAAGAATACATCACATATTGTATTTTTAACAAGGGCATAGGTCAATACATACGAGTGAGCAGTTTATTCACTCTTTGTAGGACGTCTGACTTGTAAAAGCCCACAAGCGTTTATCCGGTCCTTCCAGTATCAACTAATTTGATGTAAATGTGTTATGAGAAATGAATAAAGTATACTGATTTCGTAAAAAATACAGATGACTTGCTCAGTTTGAAATTAACAACCATGTTCTCGCCAATAGTGAAATATGACAAAACTTGTATATTCATTCAACGACATATTTTCTCAATCGAACGTTCTTACACATATAATTAGACTAATTACACTAGATTTTCATAAATGACATTAGATTCTATCAAAACTAATAAATTTTATTTCACGAGGACTCTATTCCACGAGGGTGACACAATTAGCTTTTCTCACGATGACGAATATCCGCCATTTTTGGGTGCCATCTAATTCTCGTTAATTAAAACAATGTGAAAAGTAATTTTTCAAAATAATTTTTTTACAAAGCAAATTTACACCATCATTCGTCCAAAAAATAGTCAGATAAAAAGTCGCTGTTATGTGGACTTATCTCGCAGACGTCGGCTGAAAAGCCACCCAAAAATAGCGGCATGAGAAAGGCTAATTGCAAATGATATTTGTATTCTGGAGCTTATCTTGCTATTACGTATTCACAATTAGCTTTAATAATTGCATGTTTGGTTACTGAATAAATATAAAACATAATAAATATTTTGCAATTCATTAAATTAATGGGCGCCGCAGAGCTTGATTCTAACATAATTGGGTAAAATTCGCTTCTTGCAGTGAATCCAGGGATCGTTATCTTGGGAGAGCATGATTCTTGCGGACAATTTAAGCGAAAACGTTGTCTTAAGTTTGTTACAGTTTAAATTTCCTCGCTCCAAAATGTCAAGTTGTCTCGCAACAATTGCATGATCGTCGTAACATCGTCGGCTTCATCATCATCCAACTGATCCAAAATTGGCATCGCTTCGTCAAACGCCTTCTTTGCCATCTCGTATGCTTTCTCTTGCGAATTCTCAACTTCGTAATAAAAAACAGAGAAATTTAGGGCCAGACCTAATCGGAACGGGTCGGTGGCACTCAGATTCTCTGCAGCAAGCTGAGCAGCTTCGGTGTAAGCAGCTTTGGACTTCGATTTCAATTCTTCTAAATTCTCTTCTTCACCGCTAGCGATTTCAACAAGATAGCGTAAGTGGTCACCCTTCATTTTAAGAAAGAAAACTTTTGCTTTAGGTTTGGATAATTTCGGGATTAAATCGTTCTCGAGCAGTGCAAGCAGCTCTTGGCATTTTAAAGTTAGTTCATCAACGATAACGGCAAGATATTTTCCGGCTAAGGCTTTCTTCGGCTCATCTTGTGCTAATTTTTCTTCAATAGCCGAAACAGCTCTCCAGGAAGCTCGCATTTTACTCACAACGCTTTTATATGCATTGGATAACATCTTCTGCTGAGAATCACCAGGTTCCGACTCGCTTTCTTGCACAAATTTTCGCATTTCAGCTACAAATTCATTGTGCATTTCCGCTTTTTCGTATAACGCTGCTTTTTCCAAAGACATTTTGCGTGTTGCCGTCCTACAGTTGTTCAACGATTCTTCACTGGCGACAGTTTAAACGTTATGCACAGTATACAAACGACGGTTTGTAAATATTAAGGCGTGATACGTTGTGGCTTCATTGTAAACAAAAAACTAAACAGCAATTTATGATACGTGTTAAACACGACAGGTGGTTAAACAGGTTGTAGGTAAACAACTGATTAGACCCGCGGCTCGTTGCCCAGAGGGCAGTTGACTACTCGGAGTAGTTCGAGTGTTTCAAATGAGGTTATGCAATAACCAAGTTTAACAGCTTAGTAACCATGCTTCTACACAGCACGTGACTGAAGGGGGATGTAACTTGAGGGTAGAGCGTTTGACATCAGTAGTCGTGTGCAGAGCAAACGTTTAGGAGAAAATTCCCAGCAATTATTTCAATTGGTGTGAAGGTGTTAGCCCTTTAAAGGGGTGGTCTATACTGAATAGCTCCATCTATTCTAAACTGATCTCTCTGGAGGTACAGCAAGGACCATGCTCAGCTGTGGAGCATCTTTACCAGAAATGCTGCAAAAGAACCCCTCTATCCAGCCCCCATCTTCCTTTAGCTAAATGAATCTCAAGATAAACCAGAAGCGAAATACGAACATTATTCAACATTTTATAAAGAATTGTCTTTCATTGATCCTCCGAGAGCAATAATTTAAACCTCAGAGTAATATGTCTTGTTTTTGTCAAAATTTCCGAGGTGATTAAAGATAATTAAAAATAAAAAGTATTTTTTACAAAGGATGAAAAAATCGCTATCCGGTGGAGAGAGCTATTTTGTACAATTCGCCCCTCGGAAGAAGCATCGCCTTCCAGGGAAGGGCTGCTAAACGCGGAACAAGAATGGGAAGAAATGTCAACAGAAGTTCGAGATAGACAAAGATCTTCCAGACGGTTAAACAAACAGCGTGGAAACAGCCAATAGGAAAGCATAGTTTGACAATGTTTAATCCACTCCTCGTGCAATTGTTTAACTGAAATTGAAATTATTTAAATGAGTTCAGTTGTGAATTTTGAAAAGCTCTATCGGTTGTTGCAAAAACAGTTCTCCCCAAAGGTCCAGTATTCCTTGTAGGTCCAATGCCAGTGTTACTATTACAAGAGGAAACGGGAAAAGCTACAGTTTTTAGTAGAGTCCATTTCGGAAGACGGTTGAAGTAAAATTATAATCAGACAACGTCATAACTGCATATTGCAGGAATCAAACCACGGTCAAAGTGCTCTAATTTTGGTTTCCTCCGGTTGGAACATTGAAACCAATAAAATAAATGGCCTTTACTGGATGTCTGGGAAGAACCATAGAGTTTAAAACTGAGTCATGGAAGTATAAATCAAATTTTCATTTAGATCGGCTAACGCAAGCCTCTAGCCGAGAGGTATACTGTTCATACGTGACTCAAGCTTAAACCACAACTCGATGAAAACTAAAAACAGGTCTACCACGCGCCAAACGTTAGCAAAATTTTAATGAGTTTGCATAATCCTCTATAGCTTTTGACACACACTACAGTAATAGTTTACACTGACCACCCCCGGTTCATATGACCTTTGTACAACGACGGTTGCCTGGTTAACAGAAGCAAAGCTCATATATGCATTTGTAAATTTAATTTCGAACAACATAAATAGCGTGCGAATTGAGATCATTTCGAAGAGATGTAAGAATCCTTTCATGGGCTTGTAAATTGTATGTGCGGGTTATGCTTCAGTGACTGTATCTTGCTATATTATTCAATACAGGATGTGAAATTAAGGTATCATTAATATAAATAAATGCAAAATGAGCAAGCGAGTATAATGTTTATATCGCGCTTCACGAATGGTGTGTGATACATTTTAATTGGTAAAATTGCTACATTTATGGAACAGGACTGAAATTAGAATCGAATAGCTTGTTCTAGTATGTCGAAGGAAGATAATTTCGAAGATACTTTAGCTTCACGAGCCACAGAATTGTTTAAAATTTGCGACCATCAAAATAAAGGATATATTACAGAGGATGACTTGAGTCTAGTTGCTGAGGAACTTGGTTTACCGCTCACACAAGACCAAATCACTTTAACATTTAGTAAACTCGATAAAGATCAAAATAATCACTTAACTTTGGCTGAATTCATCTCGGGTTTTGACCTATTTCTGGGAGCACATGACACAGACACGAATTATAATACGTTGGATTACACACAAGGGCATCAGTTGTTTGACTTATGTGACCGCGAACAGAAAGGCTACATAGTGAAGTCAGATTTGGAACGGCTGGCAGGGGAATTTCAGCTGAGCAAGGAACAACTTGGGGATTTGTTCCACAGCTTGGATATAGATGGCAATGGCTGTTTAACCTTAGAGGAGTTTGTAGCTGGCTTTGGGAAATTTCTTGAAGTAAGTGAACCAAACGAGGGTATCGAGATCGCAGCAGAAAACCCACTCAGTCCAGTTGAAAGAATTTACGAGAGTCACAACGATTCGGGGGTGAATTCTCCAGCGTTGTCAGAGGATGTGTTATTTGAAAAGATCGCCGATAAGGTTGGCGATGATCTGTTATCCGGGTAGGTTAAACCCCAAGGGGTTTGTTATTTATTATTATTGGGTTGTTTAATATGCAGGAGGAAACCTAACCTAAACTAACTTTATTTATACTGGATAGCTCTATCAGTTCTAAACTGTTCTCCATAGAGATCCAGTATTAAGGACCATTATTCATTGGTCCACAAGGGAACCGCAGGACGCGAAGAAACCCACCGTGTTTGAGGTGAAATTATAATCAGACTATTGAATGTGTGGGAGGGTCTCTAGTATACGTAATGTAAATTGTATAAGGGCTAAAAATACGAGAGATGGGGCGAACAAATCATGTACGTGATATTTTTATTTTGCACTCAAGGCAATACAGTCTTGTCATAACATATACTCAGCTCTCAACGCTCAAGTGAGATTTTAATTTATCATGGTACAATTTTGCAATATAATCTTCCTGCCTGAGGATAAACCCACGGGACTTGAAGTATTAAGAAAATTTGAAAGAAAATTACAAGAATATAGATCTACTTTCGATTACAAATGGTTTCGAATTACAGAAAATGGTTTTGGTTGAAAGTTGACCCCACGCTTTTTTATGCTCTTGTCATAGGGGTTAAAGTTGATGTATTGCGTGTGGACAATGATTGATGTTTCCTAGGATTTTTTTGCGGACCAATAATGCATAGAGTGATATATATTGTGCCTTTTCTGACAAATATATTAAAAAATAATTTCGCTGAAGAGTAATGTAAGCATACTACTAGAAAATTATCTGCACAAGAATGAGATATGTCGTAGGCCAGCTCGCCAGATTACAAAGGCGGAAAATACGGAATGTGGGTTTATGTCAAAACTGCTACCCACGTCTTCGCCATAAATTATTGTATAATAAATGAATGAATATACAGACTGATTTAAGTCTTAACAGATGCGTTTACAATTCCAGAAATTACACTATCTTGTTTAAAAGTCTTTAATCGCCTTATTTATTGTTCAAGAACTCCTGTGTATGATAACAATGCTTCCCCCAAAGTAATGAATATTCAAATCATGATTATCGATGTCTCAGTAAACACGAATTTGAATTTAATATTTGAAACTACACTTACTGCTGTGCTTTTTGAAATCTAAATGCTTCAGCTTTATTTTGAAAGCTTTAATATTTCGTAGAAAAAAACGTTTCTCGAAATTTGATGTCGTGATGTTCTATCTATCAAAGTTAATATCGCGCCAGACGCTGTGAAGTGTTTTATGCACTTATTCAGCAATGTAAATTTAATGCTTTGTAGCTGTCAGCTGTATTGATATACTCTCTGGCTTATCTCAACGAAAAACCCTGACAACTGACAAACGCAGCATTTTTTTCACGATTCGCACACATGAATTTTGAAGCGCATATCATGTGATATCATATTTGATCAATTTAAATCAATTATAAATGCTTGCGAATGTTATATCGTGTTCTAATTGAACAATTTGTGACATTGAAAATTTCCAAGAATTCCCATTTTCAATAGTGATTCTGTTCTAATTGAGATCTCTGTGACTATTTTCGAATTTTCCCCGCGTTGTAATTTGACTATTTGTAACAATATCTTTCTAAACATTACCCATTCATTCTAAAAAATATATTGCTGCAACTACATGGAATATACAAAAATATATAGAAATAAATTCCTGCACAATTTCTACACCGTAAAAATGCTTGACAAAGATTTCAAATACTATTTAAAACACGAGCAACAGTGTTTTATCAGATGTAAAATACGAGGCCAACCCGAGTATCTTTAGGTCTGATAAAACACGCACTGCGAATGTTTTAAATTGCTTCAAAAACGATCGATCTAGTAAGTTCATTGGCGAAGTAATTTTCAAAAACTACGTTGTGTAAGTCGAGAAAATCAAAGTTAAAGTTTATGTAAATCAAGGGAAATCTCTATCACATATAAAGATACGACACGCTTATGATTTTTCTTTGTGTTTTCCTCATGAATTATTAACGAGTTTTTGAAAAAGCTTTAAAGCACAAGCAAAAAATTGTTGGAAATTCTACCAATTTTAGTTCCAAGTTAATATATAGATACCAATTCATGTTATGTTGTATCGAAGCCTGCTATGATAAATTGTTTACATTTTAAACTCGGTAGGAAAGAAGTCAGACGATTGTTTGAAAAATAGCAGGATATTTGTCTAAAGTTATTTTACTTGTTTTCCAATGCAAATGTACACTTTGGACGCGGGATTGAATCCGAAACAATCGGAGTCTATACGGTTTCAATGACCAAAACATTGATTTAAAGATTTAATTTATTATATTTAGAGTACTATCAAAGGGACAACTTCTTGATCTCTGGAAAGCACTCTCCTCCAATGAAGTGATCGGATTTGAAAAGTTGACGGAGTTTTTAACCAAAGTCTCTCAAGAAATCAAGAGATCTCAAACACAGGCATTACATGTAGAGCAAACTTTGAAAGGGTAAGTGAAACTTTGTTTTGTGAGAGGAAATATAAAAGGGAAAAATACAGTGAAGTCTAGCCAATATAGACAGACATCTCTTTTATACAGACATTTCTCTAATATGGACATCTTACTAATATGGACACCTCTCTAATATTGACATCTCTCTAATACGTACATCTCTCTGATATGGACATCTCTTCAATACGTACACCTTACGAATATGGACATCTCACTAATATGGACATCTCTCTAGCTAATACACACACCTCTCTAATATGGACACCAATCTAATACTGACATCTAGAGAGATGTCAGTATTAGAGAGGTGTCCATATTAGAGAGGTGTCTGTATTATATAGAGAGATGTCTGTATTAGAGAGGTGGCTTTATTAGAGAGATGTCTGTATTAGAAAGACACCTCTCTAATATGGACACCAATCTAATACTGTCATCTCTCTAATACAGACACCTCTCTAATAGAGATGACACTATTAGAGAGGTGTCTGTATTAGAGAGATGTCAGTAATAGAAAGGTGTCCATATTAGAGAGGTGTCTTTCTAATACAGACATCACTCTAACAAAGACACCTCTCTAATACAGACATCTCTCTATATAATACTGACATCTCTCTAATATGGACACCTCTCTAATAAGGACACCTCTCTAATATGGACATCTCTCTAATACTGACATCTCTCTAATATGGACACCTCGCTAATAAGAGGACACCTCTCTAATGTGGACACCTCTCTAATATGGACATCTCTCTAATAAGGACACCTCTCTAATATGGACATCTCTCTAATACTGACATCTCTCTAATATGGACACCTCTCTAATAAGGACACCTCTCTAATATGGACACCTCTCTAATATGGACACCTCTCTAATAAGGACACCTCTCTAATATGGACACCTCTCTAATACTGCACGACATCTCTCTAATATGGACACCTCTCTAATACAGACACCTCTCCAATACGGCCAATGCACACTAGATTTTGGCCACAGAAGAGCGATATATCCCTTTGTGTCTCGGTGCTATGGGACAGCAAATGCATAAGAACTTAACATCTTTATAACGTGCACTCTAATGATGAAATGATGTTGGTGTAAAGTTGTTGGTATAAAGTTGTATTTGAACATATATTTTCAGGCAAGTGGAAGCTCATGAGATGGAGATCCAGAAACTGTACGAAAAGATGGACACACAACTGAAAGTGGAACGACAAGACATCAGTTCTCATGTAAGCCATTAAGCTTCATACTTCATAAAATATACACATATTTTAAAAAAATATATAATTTTTTTTTCACAGCATGAGAAAAAAGAGAAAGAGATCCGAGAAGAATTTCAAGATGAAATGGCCTCGAAAGAAAAAGAGTTACAAGAACTGTTGAATCAACAAAGAGAGGTACTGTTCCTGGTCATCTACACAGGGTGTCCTCCTTTTGGTAAAGGTGAAATTCAAGGACTTTTCCAGGACTTTTAAGGCCCTTTTTCGGTAAATTCAAGGAACTGGGAAAAATCTTTGAAAATGGCACCGATTTGCCGTAAATAATTCACTTTATTCAGTAATTTTAATCAAAATCACTAATGTTGGCACAGCTGGACGTTAAGGAAATTAATTCCAGGACTTTCAAGGACTTCTACTAATTTTCAAGGACTTTCCCCAGTCCTGGCAACTTTTTTTCCAATTCAAGGACTTTCCATGGTTTTCAAGACCCGTGGACACCCTGTCTACAATACCCATCAAATACTAATTGTTATTATACTAACTTTTTTTATCTATCCTGGCATCCAGCGATCAGAATATTTCATTGTGTTTTTCATGTCACCCCCCCCCTCTTACGTTCGCATTTCACTAAAATATACGCTCGATATTTTGGTCTACAAACACCTTCTTATCTCACTCCAAACCTATGCTTTCAACATGTTTTCATTCGTTTTATTTATCATATTTCTACCTTTCAGCTTGAAAAGAAAATGCAACATCTTAACCAAGCCGACACGGACGTAAGAGAGGAAAACTTTCGACTACAAGAGGTACGACACAAATAATGAAACAAGCTTTCGTTGATTGAGATGCAACTACCTGAAAAATATAAGGAGAATTTCGACGCTTCGAGCGAAGGCCCTTTGTCTGGAGTTACTAGTGAATTACAAATCATGAACCAAATCAAAGAATGTCTTTACCCAAGCTCAGGGCAGGAAAAAATAATTTTCTTCCTGGGAGCACAACCTGGAGACAAAATTTCCTGCAGACCAAAGGAGTATTTTTGTGCTAAATCTGCATGTGCATAAACATATAGTGTTCTAGCTAACCATGGTTTTAAATTCAAGGAATAATGTCTGTCAACCATATGTTGTTGCGCCCATAGTGGGACATGGGTGTCAGGTTTCCTTCAAATTTTCAATAGCAAATCTTCATTCAAACGAATTTCCTGCAGCTGTTTAACATTTCCTGCGAGCAGTGTTCGCGTATTTTTTCGACCCCTGCCCAAGCTTTGCGGTTATACTGTGTATTTATTCTTCAGGCTAACTCGCAACTACAAAGTCAACTAGATGAATCGAGCAGTAGTTTAGAAGACACAAAATCTTACGTACAACAGTTGCAATCATTGACGAATGAGGAAAGAAAGGAACGACAGAGGTACGAATTTTCATTTAAGTAAGCCTGGCTTTAAAGCATCATCTACAGGGCCGGTTGTCTGGATCATCAGAAGTTTAATTTTCAAAATTTTTAAATAAACAGACTGGTGCAGAAATACATAAACCAAAGCAACATACGAAGCAATATGGATTAAATTGTAACCCACGGTTAGCGCTAATTGTGGTTTAAACATTTATCTCACATACGAACAAATTTTCCTTGTCCAAAAGCTGGCGTGACTAGCTTTGGAACAAAGCCCTAGCACTGATCTAGAAATACTTAGGGCCCTAGGCCTTGTCAAAGAAAAATTGTCAATTTTTTGCCATCATGCGACCAAATAAAACTTGCCAAGGAAAATGTGTCAAGGAACATATTCTCGTCTGTACGAGGCTTTAGTTCCGGGTACTTTAAACAGGCAGGGACGAAAAATTGTTAAGAGTTTGCATGACCAATGTATTTGTATTGGTTTCATTACATTGTCATTGACTGCGTTGTGGAACGCGTCAAGCAAAAAGATGCGAGGCAAAATGGAGCGATTTTTATGAACCTTGAATTTCGAGGTTCTGACGTTTGAACGCTTATGACTGTTTTCATATTGAAGCAATTAAATTTGCAATGGAAATTTTAAATGATTTTTAATAGCTCAATGTCGCCAATTAACGAAGCATTATCAAACCAAGCGAAGCCACTTATTTTGTTGTTCACAATTTGTGAAAATTGAAAGCAGATTTTGACGGTAACAGCTCATGGTAGAATACTTGTTGAAGAGTTTTGTAAATAGGAACTGCGAGTGTGAATTTTATACATTTTATTCATATATACCAGGAGCAGTTGCGAAAAATACAACCGTATATAGGCCATCGTCACTGGCTAATTAGGGAGTTTAAGATACACTGAATCTACGACGCGGACGTGACGAAAACTGCGGCTATTATCACAGTTTCACTTCACGAGTAAAAAGTGCGGATTGTTGTTGCTGAACAAAGCCAGGGACACGAGAAAAACAAAGTAAAACTAGTCTCCCATTGTTAGCGACTGTTTTTTAGTCGCGTCCACCTCGAAGACATCTAACTCCAGACGAAGGGCTTCGCTCGAAACGTCGAAATTCTTCTTATATTTTTGAGGTAGTTGCATCTCTACCAACGAAAGCTTGTTGATAGTATTGACACTACCTACACTGGCATAAACAGTTCAAAACTATATAGGCCCTCAATCAAACCTGTGCCCCTGCGATTCCATTGCAGCTCTATAATTATTCTATATAGACCGCCTTCTATGAAACTATCTTTGCAACGATGAAATAGTTTTCATAATTTAAATAACAAAGCACTCTGCATGTGTTCATGATCTCTTAGCGTTCCTAGGTTATCATTTTTTTCCTACTTAAAAATGCACGCAAGAAGTCGAATATCTTACTTTTTATGTATCACACAGGGGGTGCAGGACCCATAAAATCATGCTTACGTACTAATACTTAATATGAGGTAATCCTTTCGAAAAATGTCCAACACCCCCTGCAAACATATCGAGACAAGTTTACATATACTATCAAACTCTAGCGCAGGGGTGTTGAGAACCCGCAAAAATCGAGCTGCCTGACTAGGAGATACTTCTTTCACTGCAAAAATATAGTTCACAGATCTTCCCAAGCAATTTCCAGGGGGTTAATCACCTGCAAATACGAACTATGATCTTAATATATCCTATGAGATAACCCTCTCAAACGATATTCACCACCCACCTGCAAAATTTTACCCCGCTAACATGTTTTATCAATCTACCATACAGGGGGGTTAAGAATCAGCAAAATCAAGCTATCTTCATAATATATCCTATGAAGTAACCCTTCAAACATCCCTCCCCCACCCCCGGCTATACAGGATTCCAAAAAGCCAATACTGCTGTGTAGGCGTGACAGCGGAAGGAGATTAGCGTGATTGTCGTTTGTGAAAAATTCCAATGCAAAGCATGGAAGCAATACAAGCAAATACCAAAGATCGATTTAAATCGCGCATACAGTTGTACCTTCCGTTTGCCTTGACCTGGATCTCAGAAATCTTTACACTTATAGGAGCACTACATCTTTCATTTCTATATTTCTATTTATTTGCCTCCAAATACAAGATTACTACTTAAAATGAAAAGAATGAACATAATTTTCTCACTCTGATAACTGCAGGTTGATCAGCATCTGCTGCACGATACTGCTTAGTGAAATCTTGAATATTTTTCAAATACATTAAAATAAATCTAATCTAAACGTGTATTTTAATTTATTCCGATTTCGATACATTTATATTTTCCCAAGCACTTAAATTGATCTAAATATGCAAAGCGGACTGTTTACATTCCGAGGGTTGCGTCTATTGACAGACGCGATTAAGTTTCAAAGCTATCTTTGTCTTTGAGCTCTCTTGTTAAAGGGAACACCTTTGCAAAGTTTCAAATGAGACTTCCCAAATTTTAACAAAAAGGAGTGTTTTGAGATTCTTCCAGACCTGTAACCCAACACCTTGGAATTTTGGATTTGTCGAAAGATTTTTAATCGTTTGTAGTGACAGCTGAGTCCATATTAAAACCACCAAAGCATGTGTGGTATGCGTGAGGGTTTGAATGTTTAATTTTGTCTGGCTCGAAGCATTTGAAAGCAAAGTTTCGTGGCGTTTTGACGTGGATTTTTAAGTCGTATTCCTATCAAAAGGCAAGTTTTTGGATCGAAGAATAGAAGAGTTGAATTGGTTACGTAATTTTTACAAGGGAACAGTTGAAATTTCAAGATGAGCGCAAGCGTATCTAAGGTATGTGTGTACTTAGTCTTTGTGTTGTGGTGTGATATTTTAGAGTTGAAAAAAATATGAAGCTTCAAATTTTGGTGTATTGACTGTACTTCACATAAAGTAACTGGGTTTAGGTCGAAGTTGGGGTTAGGTTATAGTATCTCTGGTATTCTGTACTGCTAGTAATGAATTGATTGATTAGTTGTGTAGACTTATTTGGTTACTTCTTAGTTTCACAAAATATCAGTTTATATTTAGGAAATGTTCATGTTTAATAATTGAAATCAGATTAGGGATAAGTCAGCCATAGTAGACTGCCATGATTGTGCTATTCTCAGTATATTTCTCCTACCATTTTGATGAGTTGTGGATATTTGAACCGATCAGGGTATCACTATCGTGATATGTTGTCAGACTCAGTATATCATGAATATCATAGTGTAGGCTTCGCTGTTTTGACCGTTGGTCGTTGTTAGTAATTTTGGTTAACATTAGGTAAAATTTCAGATTGGTTCTCGACGTATTTTGCTGCCAGAAACGATTTGCCGGATCATTTAACATTCATAACACGAATATTGATTTGGTTACACGTAATATTTATGCTGATTTTAACAAATTATCATCGTTGAGGTTTTGCTGTCTTGACCATGTCGTATAGTGATAGGGTTTAGGTTAGAGTTAGGTAAGGTTTATGGTAGCTGTAGTTTCATGTTGTAGCGATTGTATAGCGTTCTGATAGATCATTATACACTGATTTGGTCTTTGCATCGAGGTTTATAGCGTAATATGTACACACAAAATATGACTGTTGAGAATTCATGTTTAGACTATTTTGTTTCCTATTTGGTATATAAGTGTGTACAAGGTTCTAGCCTATAATTGGCTGTGGGTTTACATGCAAATATACTCAGAGCATTCATAACTCATCGTTCACATGTATCTGAAAAATACCAGCAGAAATCACATAAAAAATAGCCCGTGTAGGCGTGTAAAGAGCCTTAAACAGACTTCGAGGTGTCTTTATATGGCTGTTATAACCTATATCGAGTGTGTAATAGGTGCATGTATGGCTACTCTTACTAATTTTGTTCTCTCAAGGAGAGACTGAAGAGTAGAGCGTTGTAATGTCGTGCGTATATATGGACTATGCTTGACTCCCTGTCGTGTGTCACAGGGCATTATCATAACCTTAGACTTAGTATAGATTTCCACTGCGAGTAAGATTAATCTCGAACAGGAAAGAATTATTTGGTATGGTTAAAAACCACAGATTAAGATTAATCTCGAACGATGCTGTATTGGTACCTTATGTCTAATGTCAAAATGTTTTTCTTTTAAATGGGAAAGCCACGAACAGGAAAGAGTTTATAGCATACATACTTAAGATCAATATTTCTCAACCGTATACTTGACTTCGTTGATAGTTTTGGCAGTGTTCAATTCTACATGATGCCCAGCGTGTTGTGTTGTATACGAGAGAGTCTGTGTAGTGTCAGGTTTATAGGAATTTAGAAATCTTGTTTAATTCTACAACTTTTCTGTATTACTCAAAGTTTTGTAACTACTGTTTAATTCAAGTGGACAAAGTATCATGTTTCCTGAACAGGAATATAATTTTGGTCCCTTGCACCAAAATCACAAGGCTAGAGCTGAATGTCGAAATCTCGTTATTGACATTACAAGGCATGCCATAGCTCAAAATTCACATTTAGTCGCTCTAATTAAACACAGTAGGAAGCCCCAAACAAGTTGAGTGTTTCTTTGACAAGGTTTCTTTGCTCATGTATGATGTATATACAACACACGTTTATATAATATCCTTAAACGTGATTCTCATGTAGTACAGCCATAGGATAGGTTTTAGTAGAATCATTACAGACAGCAGATGGCAATTTCAGAAATGTTGACATTTAATAAAAGGAGCAAAAGAATTAAACTTCATCATCGTGTAAACTAGACCGCCTACTGTTCGATAAAAACAAATACTTAAACAGTACTGTATGTTTTGCACTTCGCAATGTTTCCTTAACCACGCTGATGCCATGAATTTAATAAAGCCTCGGTCAATGAGGATGAGAGTTCGCATGACGAATTGTTAGGGGCGACATTTTGTGTTTACACTGAGACAGATGATCTCTCGGACGAATGATATGTCTTGAAGGGTTTTTTTAGTATAAATCTACCAATAATCCCAGCCAGGAGCTGACAGGTTATAGTAGAATCGTGCCCATATTCATGGAACAGCATGTTTAAGATATCAGCAAGCAAATTGTTTTACAAAATCGCACATTTCATGTAATCTAGTGATTCTACAGAAATAAACGAAATCTGACTGACCTTTTCAAAAAGAAGATTAATCCCACATTTCCACTTTATCGCTCGATCGTCGAATATGCTTTCTTCTGAGCTTTATATCTCTATATCCTCAAGAACCAGGAATTTAAGTTAGTTTAAACACGAACTGAATAAGCTGGCTTCTTCTGGCTCCAGAAATTCATTATCCTATAATATAAAAGAATAATAATTATTTCTTAGGTCCCAAGAGAAATATTTTGAATAGTATGATTAAAATATTTAGATCTACTGTACGTGTAGCAGATAAATCACCATAAACATTAAACCATACAATACAGTATAAATAAAGTTAGTCTAGTTTAGGTTTCCTCCTGTAGTAATACTGGATTAATAATAAGAGATGATCCTTACTGGACCTCTAGGAAGAACAGTTTAGAACTGACAGAACTATCCAGTATAAATAAAGTTAGTTTAGTTTAGTTTAAAGAACACCACAGTTTTAACTTACTGGGGGAATCAGTCAAATATGAAGTGATATAAGAATTCTACAAGACGATCTTTAAAACAAGTCATTGAAATAACTGTTTCTGAAAACAATAAATGAGTTTTTCCTCCTAACACATTTCTCCATATTTTACAGTCGAGATCGCCCGTGGAGCGCTCGTATTCGTCCGCCTCATCAACGACAAGCAGTCGGCGTTCCGGGCGACGAAAACGAAAACGAATGAAGCACACTGTAATGCCGTTGAAAAAACGAACAGGCCGACACGAAGTGCCTTGTGACGTGCATCGAGTCTCGAACTTAGATCACGAAGAGATGGAGCAAAGTGCTTGCTTTTGGGTGGCGAAAAATATTGATAATCCTTCAGAGCGCAGTTTCAAGGAGGACGTTTTCGTCAACAAAGATCAAGACTCTTCAGACGATGAGATGTCGTATTTGGAAGAAAGCAGGCAGTCACAAACCTCCGGTGAATTTTCGCACGAAGTGCGCACCGAAACGCACACTGACGCAAAGTATATTAGTGAAGAAAAGAGATTTGACGATGAGAAAGAAAATAACGCGAAAAATGCTAATGAGGATGGAGAAAGAGATGACGCAAATTATTCTGAAGAGAAAACGTTTTACGGAGTGCGCAAAGGAAAAATGCAAGATGGGGATGATGTAAAACGCGTCTCCCCGATTCCGTTGCCACGCAATCGATCACGAGTTAGTTCATTCTCGGACGACGGTCACAGCGGGTTCAGTAGCGAGGGGATGCATGTCGGGTGGACCTCGGATGTAGGCGTGTCATCTGGGCCTGAATATTCAGCTATGACTGATGAGGACAGTGGTGGTGAAGGGGGACACAAGAAGACAAGAAGGGGTAGCAAGGAATTTGATGGATATCGAAAGAAAAGTGTGGAAAAATCAGGTAATTGTTGAAGGTTTTTGTAGATGGGAGTTTCAAGTGTAAATTTTATACATTTATTAGACCTAACCAGAAACAGTTGTGAAAAATGCAACTAATAATAATAATATTTAATATTTATATTGCGCAAATTAACATGTTATAGTATATGATCAAATGCGCAAGACTATAGACTCTCTGGCAGGAATTGAACGAGAGAGAGACAGCTGTCGAGCTCTAACCAACTGAGCTACAGAGAGACAGTTGTCGAGCTCTAACCAACTGAGCTACAGAAAGACAGTTGTCGAGCTCTAACCAACTGAGCTACAGAGAGACAGTTGTCGAGCTCTAACCAACTGAGCTACAGAGAGA